CATTTAGCCACTGTGGCTGTCATTGCACGAATGTGTAGTTTCTGAGGGTACTTGGCTAACCCCTCATAGAGGGTACTCAGCCCAGCCATCATCGAGGGTACTTAGCTAACTCCTCATCGGGGTTACTTAGCTAACCCCTCATCGAGGGTACTTAGCTAACTCCTCATCGGGGTTACTTAGCTAACCCCTCATCGGGGTTACTTAGCTAACCCCTCATCGGGGTTACTTAGCTAACTCCTCATCGGGGTTACTTAGCTAACTCCTCATCGGGGTTACTTAGCTAACTCCTCGTCGGGGTTACTTAGCTAACTCCTCATCGGGGTTACTTAGCTAACTCCTCATCGGGGTTACTTAGCTAACTTCTCATCGGGGTTACTTAGCTAGTCCCTCGTCGGGGGTACTTAGCTAACTCCTCATCGGGGGTACTTAGCTAACTCCTCATGGGGGGTACTTAGCTAACTCCTCATGGGGGGTACTTAGCTAACTTCTCATGGGGGGTACTTAGCTAACTCCTCGTCGAGGGTAGATCATCAGCTCCCTCGCGTCATCTCGGTCGGGCAGACCTTCCCTTATTTACTAGTGAAAATCTTCCAGCTGCTTTTGAAATCTGCCGGCGGCAACATTTTGGAATGTTGGTAATATCAGGAGTAATTTGGAGTTATTGAGAAATGATATCAATTCTTTTTGGAGATCAGACTTTTTACCATTAATGAAATATGTATTGTTTGTCAACTTCGTATGCGGGGAAATACTATGTCGACTGAAGAGCTAGGGATTTTTTTTCTTGGTATATTCGATCTGCTGACTTCAAGTAAAATTTGCAATGCAATAAAAAAATTTCTTCTTCCTCATCGAAGCATGCATAAAAATGTGTAGTTTATGTCTTATGTTTATGTAAAAGGTAATCAATTGAGTGACTTTCAATTGCATTTGTTTTTTGAATTTTTTCACAAACGGTCTGGTTTGGGATGAAGACCTCAATTTCTGTCGCTGAAAACATCAACGTAAAATGAGCCTTCGTAGCACATCTTGTGAAGCGTACACATGTGAAGACTCAAATATTGAATCTTCATCCGCAATCTATGTGTCGCGTCAATACCTTCGGACGGCGATTGATGTTTAATTCTGGCATCATTGTACGATCTGGGTGTTATTTTTTCAGCTGAAAAAAAATTGAGGATGAGTAACTCTTTTGTTCTAATAATGAAAGCTATTCGTATTCGATTATCTTAAATTTCATAGATGATGAACTGGTTTTATGAGTGTTCTAACGTTTACCACATTTTTCCTTGAAGTTTTTTTAAAACCTATTTTAACGTTCCTAAATGATTTGCAGCTCAAAGTTTGGTCATTTTCGCGAAGAAATTATACTCGGACTGCCGTATTAATGCGTGATGTGTTCACCTTTTTAGGCATTTAAAGTGATTGAATTTGTCAGTTCATAAGGACGCATCATATGATGCAGTGGACGCAGTCGAGGAAGTGATTCCGTAAAAATCCAACGGGATTTTACCAAGGACACGAGGACTTCTTTTCCTGTATCATTTGTTACTTTGGTGATTTCCTAAAGTTGTATCTCCATAATTTAGTTGTAGTAATCCATCTTTCTTGTAAATCAAATTAAGATCGAGTTGCTTGTTCAGTATTGTTCATCCAAGCATACACTCATTCGATTGTCCGTCACTTTCCTCACATATTTTGATTGCATTTATTTCACTTATTGCACTGTTCTGCTTTTACCTGAGAAACTCATCACTGCAACTTATACGTTCGGGATAAATTCTATGGGTTATTAAGAAGGTCTTTGTTGAAATCAAGAAATAATAAAAATTAATATGATTTAATTTATATGATATTATATAATTTTATTAATATTATATTACTTATATAATTTATTCACTGTTTGTTTTCGCCCGGCCTTGTCCACGAGACTCTGTCGTGTCCACGGGCATATTTGCCTGCTTTCTCGTCGCAGCGCAAGACTGGCCGGCTTTGTCTTGTAGACGTGGAGTGCACTTGTGCTTATTGCTGCATACCTCAACTCCCTCCATTCCCCACACCTCTTCATTATCATGCTACTCCCTCACTTTTATGTAACTCCTTTTCTTCTTTTTCCTGATTTATTTCTTCACATTGTTCTCCCCATTTTCCATCGGTTTACTTCACTTCACTCGTTATAAATTTTTGCTCATTATACATCTGTTTCCTGTTCTATAGCTATTGCATTATTCTCCGACATTACTCATATTTTATTCAATATCACTATCCCTTCTGTACAGTCTCCATTCCAAATAGCTCCTCCCGTCTCCCCTCTTCATACTTCAGTTCGCAACTTCTCATTCCAGCTTTCATCTCATTTATGCCCCTTTATTGTTGTCTGAGCGAATTAATATTCACTCACCCATTATATCCTTTCTTTGCTGCGTTCCTCATCAAGACCTTTTATTAAAATAAAATGTCTACCATGAGCTCGTATCGTTTCTGGCTTCTGTTGTCGTTTCGACTTGAATATTCGTTTTTATGCTCAGTTGAATGGAGATGATCTGAACTTCTGTCTAGCCGTGCGTGGAAATGTTTACGTGGATTGCATTTTTGCTTTTTATTTGGAACTTTTTTGAATTGGACCTGATTAAATTGGAGGCAGCCTCGCCTCAGTGATTTCATGTTTCCGTGCCTTTGTCACCGCCATCTCAAAAATCAGGGGCGTTGTGCTGGCCTGTAGCATCTATTGGAGCGTAACGAGTATGAATACTAGGACAAAAAATTAAAGGTCACTTGCATCGCTGACGTCTATTACTGCCTTGAAACTTCCGATCACTTCTGCCTCCTTCCTTGTTTAAAAATAACCTCGGCTTTCTATTGGCAGCTTTTTCTCTCACATGCTGAATATGTTCATACATTGACACAGTTGTATGTTCATAGTTATATAAGCTTAAGAAGCCACACCATGGCCCGCCGCACTCCATGGGACCCGTGCGTCAGAAGAAATTCACCAGGTTTGGCTACATTCAAGATTTGTTTTATCTGTTCCATCTGTTACGCCCACCGGGATACTTCAATGTTTTTTAAAAGTTTCCCTATTTCATACAAGTATTAATGCAGGCTGAATGCGCTTTCAAACACAAATGCACATTAACCGAAGGCAATATATTGGAGGCATTTATAAGGAACAACTAAACGAATTTGAAATTCTGATTCTTCTAGTGATGACAAATGACGAACACTGGCATGCAAAGAGGGCTTGAGCCAAGAAATGAGTACAAGTGTGCGAACTTGTGAGTCAGGAAAGATAAATATAATCACAGAACAACACATCTCTATTCATTCTTCAAGTATGACTGACGACTTCATTGTACATATGACTGACGACTTAATTTTACACATATGACTGACGACTTAATTGTACACATATGACTGACGACTTCATTTTACATATGCTGTCTCTTATACACATCTAGATGTGTATAAGAGACAGGTCATATGTGTACAATGAAGTCGTCAGTCATATGTGTAAAACGAAGTCGTCAGTCATATGTGTCTGTCTCTTATACACATCTAGATGTGTATAAGAGACAGCTTCATTTTACACATATGACTGACGACTTCATTTTACACATATGACTGGCGACTTCATTTTACACTTATGACTCTTGCAGGGAACGCGTCTTATTTCAGTGCGCGCGCCGTATTTCAGTGCATGAACTGTATTGCAGTAGGTGCGTTGCGTATTACAGTATAGTGCGTTGCGTCGTACTTTATTCCACGTACGGCACGCGCCGTATTGCAGGGCGTGCCTGGTATAGCAGAGTAGCTGGACCTCCAGGACCGTCGCCACGACGTGTAACCGTCAATAAATCCTCGAGTTGAGAGCTCGGCTGACGTCTAATCTGCGGAATCCTATTTTATGGGCAACCTCCAGGGAAGTTTCAATGACATAATTATCTTATCGCAACATGATAGCAATTCGAGAGTAATTTTAGTATCGAAGTTACTTTGATAAGTTAATATTTCAGTAAGTGTTTTAAAAGATAAACAGTGCTGAATGGAATCGACTAGTTATCATTTGGGTTAGGTTTGGTACGGGCTGTTGATCATTTAAAAAAAGTGAAAAGCTGATTACACAATGAGCAACACAAGCTGTGTTGCTCATTTCAAAAAGTGAGAAGCCGATTACATGCTTAGAAGATCGTTACACTTCTAATGTTACTCCATTTAACGAAACTGTGCATTTTCCGTCTTTTTGGTTACTTGGGCTTCTCGTCACGTACGCGATCTGTTTTTCCCAGAAAAGTTCCGGGGTAAGAGCGGCCTCTTGTTTTTAGAGGCGCGTCCAGTTTTTCTCTCGGACAAGGTCCGCGGACTGCACGGCAGTATTCGTAACGATGCCAGCAAAGTTCGTCGCTGGGTGCGAATTAACGTCCGTACGATTTTGGTTCTCTGAAGAAAATTCAAGACTCAAGTCTCTCTCTCTACAGAGAATCTCGAGAAGCAGCATGGAAGGCCATTTGGTATTCAGAAGGCGCCTTTGCTACCGAGGCTTCATTCGGCCTGCATACAGTCCGCATTTGAGGCCAATTACCTCGAGGCGGGCTTTCCATTGTGCTTAGATTTCCATATTACAATAGCGGGCCCGCATCATGATGCACTGAGCCCATTTGGATCTTGTTTGCCGTGTTCTGTGCTGCCGAGCGTCTTGTAGATCTCTCGAGGCCCACTGCCTTTACCTTAAGAACATTTCATGTGTATTCCAAGGTATTGGAATGTTCAGAGAATTAAAGTTGATTACAACTTGCGCAGAAAAGAAATGTTTTTTATTTAATCCAAGTATTACTAATTAAACTGCTAAAATTTCGCACTTTTTGTTTATATTTTGGCGATTATCAGTTACTCACATGAACGTGTCTCACAGATTTCCGATAAGCTGTTTCTTAGGTATACTTCTCGTTTAATGTTCCTTTTCTCGTAGTGCGAGTCAAACTAACCTACTTCTTCTTTTCCAGACGCTTGTACGAAACTCGGGAGCTTCCAATAACGGAAACCCGACAGCCAGTCCTGGAGCATCTGCTTACACCCGCTCCCACACCAATACCCATCAATGGCTCGGTGATGGAAAGCAGTCTTGTTGTTCGTGCTGACGAAGACCGCAAAGGTAACGCCAATGCCGGAGCAAGAGGACGTTTGTGCAGTGAATGTGGCGCTCGACACGTCACGGGACCGTGTCCCTTCACGAGACCAACTCATCTTCTACCAGACTCCATCCCTCCACCGCGTCCTGCTAACCAGGGTGTGATAATGGCGCCTCCTCATCGCGACACTCCTGTTAATTTATCCAACGGAAGCACGAGAAGTGACGAGAGCGAGACGCTTCCACTTGAGGAGACTTGGCGAGACCCTCAAAGAGCTGGATCTCCAGGCTGCTATTCTAGAGTATCCTTACCTTCTGGTCTGGCTCTGGAGAGACGCTTGGTGCAACCGCCCAGAGACACGAACCCTGACGATGATGTTGGCCTAGTGGAAGATTCGCCTCCACCTCCGCGCTCAATGGAAGTTGTGGTCGCCAGAACCGCCCTGTCAAGATATACTCAACTCGGTCCTGTAGTTGGCGTGCCCGTGAGAGAGCGTGACATACCAGATGACTTCAGCATGGTCAATCTCTGGGAGGTGAGTACCTGCTACCACCCTAAGTAGCTTGTAAACTCACCTATATAGCTGAGTAAGTAATGTCGAAAATATTAGAACAAGAGAGTTCTCGTGTGGAGTTTCAAGCCTCTGCAACAGCAGCTAAAGAACTTCTAAACAGTTTCTGAACGCAAAATGAAGGGCCAGTTGTTGATCACGTAAATCTTTGTCTCAACTCCGTGGTTACTGGCATTAAATTCAATGATATGCTTCAAAATCACTAGCGGTTTTCTAAAGGTAAGTTCTAGTTTATTTTCTAAGTAGTGACCGTTTCCCGGTAGTTTTTCCGCAGTCGCTCAATGTCAGTTAAGTTTTCGTACATAGAATATATAACGTGCTGTCATTTTGAACGTTTAAATATTGCAGTGGAATTCTCTTCTAGACAATCTGAACGGATGATTTAATACATATTTTTGGAGACAGCGCTTGAATACATTCAGCTGTGTCTAATACCGGCAGTGACGCAGTACCTCTTCAAGTGAGGCTGAGTGTATGACAATCCTGAAGTTTTAGGCATTGCAAGGCCGAATGGAATATTACAGGAATAAAAACAGGACAGGAAGATATACAGGAATAAAAAATCTAGCCTTTTTATTCAAATTTATGCAGTTATTCTTCCGCATAAAGTTCTTTGTAGACGTTCGGTGGCCACGAGTTTTTGGGAAGCTTGTAGGATGACTTTTGGTCCGAAGTGCAGGACGCAGGCTGCCTTATGGTGCCCAGACATGCAGGACGCAGGCTGTCTTATGGTGCCCAGACATGCAGGACGCAGGCTGCCTTATGGTGCCTAGACATGCAGGACGCAGGCTGCCTTATGGTGCCCAGACATGCAGGACGCAGGTTTCCGCTAAGCCCAGCCACGGCTGCAGGCTGCCGCTAAGCCCAGCCACGGCTGCAGGTTGGCTCCCGGCAAACATTGAACTGAGCTGCGCCGCTTCTGAGGTGAAATTTTCGATTCTCAGCAAACATGGCCGCCGTGGCGTGTTTACCAGCGCCTCGAAATATCTCCCTAGGGTCAACAAACCAATGGAGAACGAAACGGAGATCTCGGCTGCTCCAAGTTTTGACCTTAAATTTCGGTGCGGATTTGGCGTGCAATTTATGGATTTGAGTGTCGTACTGGTAGAAGAAGTCGGCCGCTGCTGCCGCCTCAAAGTTCAGTACATAGACGAGAAAAATAAGCTTAGCTTACAAAATAGTACATAAAACGGGTTTAGTTAACTTTTAAATCTTTCAGTTGAAACAGACAGAATGAAAACTTTTTTAAAATCATTCATACAAGTATCAATTCATCCAGGTTACGAGGCGATTCTTTATTTCTTTTCCTTTCCATTCCCGCGATTTCCTGTCAATAAAAATTAAACATAGAACGAGCTGAATTTTTGAAGTTTGCCACTGAGCTCTTTAGAGAACCAAGAAATTTTCCAGGTCTCCAGGTCTTACTCCGATATTCTTTATTGTAATGTTGGTGTGTTATCAATTGTCTCTGATCCTGTTATTAAGAAATATAATCACTTCCATATTATAATAACACTTCATAACACTTACTTATGATATTAAAACTTCACTTTTGACATACATTTTCATGTATGTTGCCTTATTAAAAATTGGCATAACTCGCCTAGCGAATTTATAGATTAGACAAATTGTGTACCATTAATAATGTAATTATGCTTGGAAATAAAGCTCAACTTACCCTATATCCATCACTGTCATCCGAAATAAAGCTCAACTTACCATCAACGGCATCCGATTATCCGAGATAAAGCTCAACTTACCTTATGTCCATCACCGTTATCCAAAAAAAGCTCAATATACCTAATATCCATCACCGCCATCAGAAACAAAGCTCAAATTACCTTATTTCTATTACCTTCATCCAAAATAAAGCTCATCTTACCAAATATCCATTGCCGCAATTCAATTATCATGTCTTCAATTTTTCACAAACCTGCGCAGAGAAACATAAGGACAAAAACATCCGTGCGCTGACCGAACGAACGTTTTTAATTCCCGCAACCAATAAATGGTAATTATAAAAAATTCAATCGTGTGCCCCCACACAAGCTCGTCAATTACTCTACATACTTTTGGCCCGACATCTTAAAAATTTGCGTGCTTTTAAATAATTTTTTCCCTTTTATCATCACAATTGCACGAGAAATAAGTAAATCTTTGACACGCGATTCATGTGTGGCATGCCGTGTCGGAATATCCCGGCAGTCACACAAAGCTAAGCTTGAGACTCAACAAAGCGTCGCCTCAAGTCGCTAAGTCGCTTACAGCGCTTGCGTCTCTGAATAAAAGTAAATAACAGGAGGCCGTCAGCCTGAATAGCAAGACGGCTCGTGTTGGAGTGAATGCGTCGCAGCAATATACTATTTAGATGCGACAACTTTATTTTAGCTTAAATAAATACTTATATTATAGTCTGCTTTAGGAATTTAAAAGCCAAAGAATACACCAAGGAAATTCACCATAAAACACCAGCTTAAATAAAGTATTGCCGTAAACTGTTTTGAAAGTTTTTAACAATTAATGCCCTTTTACCCGCCATGCTGCTGTAATTTAATTCTGGTTCTGAAATTTAACGAAATTTTTCTTGGATATTTTTCGACAGCCATTTATTTATAATAAATTTGAGTTGATTTTATATTTTATAATCCGGCCCTCGTTCGGCGATGCATGACGATTCCACCGCTAGAAGAATATTTCAAGTCGAGGTAATCTCCTGATCAGCTTGGGAATGTGAACTCTCGCTCAAAGAGCTCCCACGTGCATAATTATTTTTGTATATAGTATCAAGTTCCGATTACCCAAAATAACTAAAAAACAAATGAAAATAAACTTTGAATAAAACTGGGTAAATTAAACCTGTTTTCATCAGAACAGAACAGATTGTTTTATCTTTCGCACACTTAGAGTAGAGCGGAGGGTAAGCTTGTATGCTCAATAGAACGAAATAGAAATTGTGTTACCAATTACCAAACGCGTAACACCGTTTGGAAACTACTGGTGCACACTATCGAAATAAAAATTTATTGTATTGTAAACAAAATAGAGGAAACAAGAATTGCATTTTACACAAAATGGAGCGAAACAGAAACTGTTTAATGCAAGTAATGTACCGAAAATGAGCTTTGTATTAAAATAAAAAAAAAATAACAGAGCGAAGGACATATTGTGTTATATATATAGAAGCGCTTATAATGAGATTTTTTACAGCATAAAATAGAAAGAATGGTGATGTATTTGTAGTACTTTTACAAGCTTTTAGTAATGATTTTGATATGCAGTATAAGTGAATGAATGAGTACTGCTACGCCACAAGACTAACTGCCTCACTAAAGCCGAGTGATCCATGCGCCCCTGGCCTCGAACTTCTCCTTTAAACGAGTTCATGATGAGCCTCATGTCTCTGACCCCTCACTTTATTTTTTTCCTGCAAGTTGTTCTAATCTCGTGAATGAAGTATTTTACTGCAGTAAGAAATCATGTTAATCCTTAAATAAAAATATTATTAATTTACTGATATTTTTTGTTGTTTAATTTTTTGGGTCGTGGTCGACAGCATGTACCGCCGATGGCGCCATCCCCTTTCCGCTGGGCAGCGGCACGCGGGCTCTTGAAAATCTGCTACGCTTCTTTGAAGGCGAGCGTGTCGAGTAGCGCCGCTCCATGAGGGCCTCCACGTGGACCTGGACTGCCGCGTCTCACAGCATTTGCTTCTTGCTTGCGTGACTGCGACGGTGTTGAATTTGCTTCATGATGTTGAATTTGATTCATGATGTTGAAATGGATGCGAGATGCTGAACTGTATATGTCGTGGCCACACGCACACGCCGGGTACGCGGCCACACGCACACGCCGTGTGCTGATGCTGAATTGTATGCTGCGACGATGTGGACGATATTGATTTGTATGTGTCGTGCCGAAATCGCGGAATTAACGATTCTTGGGAATCGGTAGCCATTTTGCTGAATCTGTAGAATCAGCATTTCGTTGCTAATTCAGAAAATCGGACGTTAGAGTTAGAATATAGATCGACAGAAGTTAGAAAAGGTTAGGTCAAGTTCGGTCAAGTTTTTCATATTTAAATAAAAAAATAACTTGGCTGACTGACTTAACCCCAGATTCCTATAGTAAAGAAATGCAGATTCGGCAAACTTGCTGTCGGTTCCATAGAATCGGCGATTCCGCGATTTCGGCACGACATATGAATGAACTAATTCGTTGGCTTAAGGGTTACGTGCAGCCATTGGCCTCAAAAATTTAGAAAGTCGTTGACATTACGAAGGCAATAAGTTTAGGAAATAAAATCGATGAGGTCTAACATGTATGAAATCATTCAATGCTGGAATATAAAAGGCCGTTAACTTTTGAATCGCAGAAAGTTGTGGACTTTCGCAATGTGTGAAATCATAGACTTCAGTCATGTGTGAAGTCATTGACTTCTGGAATGTGTAAAGTCATTGACTTCTTTAATGCAAGAAGTCGTAGACTTCTTGAATGCCGAAAGTCGGTAACTTCTTGAGTCCCGAAAGTCGTTGACTTCTTGAATTGAGCTCATGTTTTATTTAGAAATGATGTAACGTTTTTTTTACATCTGATGCTGCTCTTAATGACGCGATCTCCGAATTCTTCAACTGATAATACGTAGCTTCAATTGCTGTATGTTCTTCCTTATTTTTTGTGGATAAAAAATATACAAAATCCCCCGCCGCCTCATGGCTCGAGGACAATCCAATTTATGATCTGCAAATTGAATGCAATCACGAAGTCGGGCTTTTTTAATAAGCGATAGCAGCCATGAATCCCAGCTTTAGTATAATAAAATGATCTTTGGTATACGATGCAAATTTGAACTTGATTATAGGATTCTGAATTGCGAATAATTTGATTTGATTATTATAAGTTGGAAGTTTTTACCAAAAAGCCGGTTGAACCAAATCCTGGTCCGTTTTCATTAATTGTGTAATTAA